GGATCCACCCGTCATACCGCGTCGTCCTCCTTGGGGATGCCTGCCACCCCATGCTGGTGCGTCTCATCCATTCCCAGCGCACTGTGGCCACTAACGCGTGCATTTCTTGCAGCCATACCGAGCGCAGGGCGCTGCGATGGCCATCGAAGACGCTGCAGTCCTCGGCAACCTCCTCTCCCGCCTCTCGCACCCAGCGCAGCTCAAGCCGCTCCTCCAAGCGTACGAGGACCTGCGGCTTCCGCGTACAGCGGAGACACAGCGTCAGTCACGTTTGAACCAGAAGATCTTCCACCTACCCGACGGGCCCGAACAGGAGCAGCGCGACGCGGAGATGCGTCGCGCTGCGGAGGCGGAGCTGCAGCGGATGCGAGAGGGGAAGCGGGTGCCGGAGGAGAAGCAGGAGCACTGGGAAGCGGGGAATGCGAACCAGTGGGCAGACGAGGACAAGAACGTGGCGCAGTTTGGGTACGACGCGGACGAGGCTGCGGAGAGGTGGTGGAGGGAGGGCGGGGAGAAGCTGGTGAGGGCTGCAGAGGCAAGGACGTGATATGGTTGTGAGTTCTTCGTTCTCGATAGGATACCCTATGTTGGAGGTCTGGATTTTCTGTACGGATGTCTCATCTATGTATCGCGGTAAGCAAGATAATCTGATGTACTATGATATGATATATGTGAGCTACTAGCCCGTGCACCACGGTCTGGATCTGAGCTTCCTCATAGCGGGATGTCGGCTTCTGAGACGAATTGCTGGAATCTCGCTCGAGCGCGAGGAGGGTGATCCGACTCACCATCAAAGCACTGGGGATGGTTGTATGGATTCGCGAGTGTGCGGTACTGTATCTCGGTAATGGCGAATGGGCGTCTGGATTACCGTATTGGGTTGATACACACGGTCCGGCAGGCCGATTGATTCAGGGCAGGGCTTGACGCGTCTCGCTCAGGCTGCCAACTGCCTTGCTTTCGTTCCTTTCTCTGTGCCCAGCCTACCCTCGTTTACCAGCAAGCACGATTTTTGTGGCTCACCTAGGGACACCGTACGCCTGAACGCCCTCCAATGTCTAGTCAAATTTCTAGATTGTCTTACTGCACGGCGTGGAGTCGCGACATCGACGCCATATTGAGGTGGGTAGTCCTGGATCCATGCACCATCTGCCCAGGCTCTGTGAAATCCCGTTCACTCAGCACGACTGATGGCCGCCACCATCATATGGTGCTCCAACTCCTCCAGCGAGGCTGAAGGCCATGCTGCCATGACGTACGCCTTCAATGACGCCACGCGTGTCATCGTGTACGGCACAGTAACACATGTTTGAGCTTGACGACCACTCAGAGATAACGGGAGTCACGTCGTGTCGCCCTCTACTCATCTTTTCCCTCCCGCCATGACGTCTCACAGTTACGCTCGGTATCTCTCTCCTTCCTACTGGTTTTCTCTCGTTTTCAACTTCTTCTACGTGCTCGTGCAGCACGTTATAATCTGGCTCTTCAAACCGGTGAGTATCACACCTTTGGGTATTGAGTTCGCGCATTTACGCAGTTTTTAGCCCCCGCCTCCCGGCCCCGAGTATCCCAAAAATCCAAAGGGCAGGATCGCAGTCATCGGCGCAGGCCTCACGGGCGTATCAAGTGCAGCCCACGCGATAGCACATGGGTTCGATGTCGTGATATACGAACAGGACGACAAGATAGGTGAGTACGATTCTTGTTCTCGTCTGGCTGGATGTTCATGAGCGGGGCTATGACTCAGGCGGTATCTGGGCTCATGTCAACAAGACATCGGGTTTGCAGCTCAACTCGCTGCTCTACCGCTTCCATCCCGCCGTCCTCTGGTCGTGTACATTCCCGCATCGAGATGAGATTTTATCTGGTGAGTAGCGTTCTGTGCGCTCTCTGTCAACTCTTGCTGACTATGCGCAGAAATACGTCGCATCTGGAAGGAGTACCAGCTCGAGCCGCGCACGCGCTTCAATACTCGCGTAGCCTCCGTCAAGCGTAAGCCAGGAACCGGCGAGCACATCAAGGACGACCCGGCACACTCACAGTCGAAATGGATCATCAACGGCGGCGAGGACGGCGAGTTCGACGCTGTCGTGGTCACAATTGGCACGTGCGGGCAGCCTATGCGTATCAAGTTCCCTGGGATGCCCCAGCACGACGACAACGCCTCCGATACTGGATCCGAGAAGCATGAAGGTGACGATGAGGAAGTCTTCCAAGGGGAGGTCTTGCACTCGTCTGAGCTCGACAACGCGAAACTGGGCGGGAAGACCATCGTCGTGATCGGAAGCGGTGCTAGTGGTGTCGAGGCAGTCGAGACTGCGCTGGAACAGGGCGCGAAGCACTGTGTTATGTTGGCCCGCGACGACAAGGTGAACATATGTATGCGCTTGTCGTATGATCGTCGCCACTAATAGACTTGCCGTAGTGGATCATACCCCGGAACATCGTGCTGGACACGATGATTGCTGCGCAGCCCTTCGGGCGGGAGATGCCTCTGTCGGTCATCTGGGAGAAGATTATCACCGCCTGGAACTACCACGGTGCTGAACATCTCGTCCCTGCTCGTCTCGGTATCTTCGAGAGCACGCCGGTGGTCAATGACGAGTTCATTAGCCAGGTCAAGAAGGGACAGTGCGACTACATCCGATGCGATATCCAGCGACTCACGAAGGACGGAGTGCGTGTGAAGGTGCGTGGGCGGGAGGACAAGCCGAGAGAGGGGAAGGAGGAGAAGGAGGTACGTCATGAGCGTGATCTTCGTCGGGCTTGTCGCCTGACACGATTTCAGATCAAGGGCGATGTCGTTGTCTTAGCTACTGGGTTCAAGAAGCCGGAGCTCAGCTTCTTCGAGGATGACCTCTTCCCCGAGGGCTACGAGGTGCGCGCCTTCATAGAATTGTGCAAATAAAACGTTTGCTGACTCACCTCCGCCAGCGTCCGAACCTCTACCTCCAGAACTTCTCGACAGAGGACTGGTCAGTTCTTATGACGAACTCATCGTACCAGAATGCTATCGGCACCGTGTATGTAATGCTCACTGTTTCTATCCTTTGCAGAAACTGACCGCATCATCATCTGTGTGCATATAGTGGGCATTTGTGAGTTCGAATACGTGTTGTTGTGCCTTGCTCAGAATACTGATTGTTAAAACTTGTTCCAAGCCACATCGGAATCTGTACGCGGTTTTGCTTTGCATCACCTCGATCAACACGCTGACGTACTTCCAGATATGCGTATACTGCTCACCTTCCTCATGGACCCCTACGCGCGGCCAACGTCCAAAGACATGAAGCTTTGGGTGGACGTGATCCGCTTCGTCAAGTCCGGCGCACGGGGAGGAGCACTCAGTTTCTTCACGTACATGGAACTCAGTGCGTAGTGTGTTTCGCCGTTAAACGGAGACATGCGAGTCGTCTGACGCCATCTCGGTAGCGATCTGGCTGTTGCTGTTCCACATCTTCCGCTTGGACAGGCTGAAGTGGTCAGTACCTTGTAATCGTCATCCGGACGCTTTCGCTAACGCTGCGTGTAGGTTGTTCTTCATCATGCAGGGATGGGGCGTGTATCCCGCCGAGTATAAGGAGAAGAAGGGGAAGGGGAAAGCGAAAACGCAAACGCAAACGCCACAGCTGAAGTTTGGAAGCACGAAAGGTGTAGAGCCCGATGGCGACGCGGTTCAGGGGATCTAGGCAGAGGTTGACCGTCATACCATATATACCTTACTAACTTATACAGATCATGGACGTCCGAATGACACACGACGTTGTACTACTTCACTCTCAATATCTTATCCTCACCGACCGCCTGCGAACCTCACTCATCGGTGGTTTCGGCTCTGCTTGCAAGGAAAGCCACGAGTGCACGTTCAGGTTCGTCCCAATGGACCTGTCATAACCACGCCAAGTCAGCATCTTCAAGTTCCCCGAGTATCCAAGTATCGGGAAGTATCACGAAGTGAATCGCCCCTCGGATCCGCAAGAACGTCACGTCACGTCTCGCAAGGCCGTCCCGGCTTTCCTCTCACCCTCGAGCTTCGCGCGCACGTTTCGCACACTCCAACTTGAAGGCATCTCCCACACCGAGCGGTCGCACCGCACGTAGCGCACCTCCAGAGTCCACACCCGCCCAGCCGTCCGTCGCATCGTTCTCGTTTTTGTCATCGTCCTCGTCCTGGCCGCCGTCTGCAAGGTGAGACGTCGACGACGGGAGGACGATCTCGCGCTCAAACAAAGTGGTCTCTGGCACGGTGCGTGTACGCATGTGCTATGGCCACGTCGCGACCGGGCCCTGTAGGCTGTAGCGGCCCTCACTGTGTACAGTATGAGCCTGAGATGGTAGATCCCGGAGAGCGTGAGATGCCAGAGCGCGTCCCCGCAGTCCGTACCCAGTGAAACCGTCCTTCGCAGGGGTGGGGTTCGCCGGACTCGCCGCTAGCGTTGCCGGGTTGAATGCACGATGTACTTGGTCATGAGTGCAAGCAGGTTTCTCGATGCGCGCCGCGAGTAGGCTGAGTCTCAGCTTGCGGCTTGTGGTCGGTGGGTGCATTTGAATTCCTCGGGCCAGAAACCGGGAGTATGAACGTTCCGCGCTATGCTCGTTCGCTGCCCATTTGTGGATTGGGAGAACTGTAGTCTGTGAGGGTGAGATTTGCATCGCTCAACGTCGGTCGAGTGGTAGTGTGTTGATATTGATCGGTGAACGGTGGTCGGACATGTAAGTTGTACGCGCAGGGAAGTGTGGATCAGTGACTTTCAATTTCGCCGGGTGGTCATGGGCACAGTCATGGATGGTGGAGGCTGTGGTTTCTCGAGGAACTGAGGATCGTCATCCTTGTTAGCTTGGTACTGGTAGCGACTGCCAGCCAGGTTTCTCAATCCGCATACTCAGACTTGATGCTCAGCTGCGGAGGGCGCACGGTGTACACCATATAATCGCACCAACTAGCGTTTCCGACAATCTCCAAATCTCTGAAGTCAAAAACCACATCCAGCCGGAAAAAAGGGCCTGGCCGGGAATTGAACCCGGGACCTCCTCCAATCATGTACCAGGTTCAATCCTGACAACACCCTAAGAAGGAATCATACTACTAGACCACCAGGCCACAGAGGGGTGTCATACCACTTATATTTATCTCATGTGAGAGCTCCAGCCTGTGAGAGCTCCAGGATGCCGCTGACTGTTACTTAAATAGCTTGCTCGGACAGTCTTTCCCTGAGATGCACCCCAATATTCAAGTGAAGATGGTCAGTTGCGGTCAGTGCCACTGAAGTTGGCATCAAACTGTCCGCAAAGAGGTATCAAGTAGTTGCCTCCGAGTCTCACCCCGTCCACTACTACGCGGAACCAATAACCACTTCCTCAAGCTCGGATGTCGCTGCAAGGCATGCTCGAACGGTGTCCTCCGGTCTGTCCCAATGTATCTGTCCATGCTACTATCAGTGACTTATGACCCTCTCCCAGTCATATTACTCACGAAGTGGTTAGCGTCTTTTATCTGCACGAACGTCACCCGCCGGACCTTGTCACCCGCTATCCTGGCTTCCTGCACCGCCTGCTTCAAGGAATGCACTCCCCAGATTACCTCCCAGACAGTAGCGTCGCACCACAGATAGACGAGCTCCACGGCGTCCCACGAGCGACTGCCAGTCGCAGCATCCCCACCTTCGCCCTGAGGAACGCGCAACGCGCTCTCCCGCAGGACTGGCCATGCGCCCGACGGGATCCCAGTGAGGTTCAGTACGCAATCCGAGCCACCAGGGTCTCCCGGGGACGGGTACAGCGCCAACGCGCGTTCTTCCGCTGTCATGGCAGAGATGGTTGGGGGCGGGTGGGTAAGAGGGGTGCGCCGCTCGAGAGCGTCGAGCGAATCCAGCGGGTGCTTGTAGTACCCGCTGACCCAGTCTGCGAACATGCGCGTTTTCTCGTCTTCTGCGAGGGAGGGGTCGAAGAGAGGGTTGCCGTAGATGTCGCCGTCGAGAGGGGGGTAGCCGAGGACGTGGTATGGTGCGTCTGACACCAGGGAGCACAGGTGAGAAACATGTACGGGATGCAGTATTGTTGAACAACGGCGTACGTACCGTATAGGATGACGCGCCGGATGTACTTCCCAACATCCACTTCGCCCACCGGGAACGAGTGCGCGTACGCAAGGAGGGCAAGCATCCACCCCGACGCGAACGACCACCCACCCACCACGATCCCCCCGCTGTTCTTCTCGACACTAGCCTTGGGCACGTCGTTCGACGCTATGAAATCAATCAAGAAGTCGTACAGGTCCCGCGCGTTGTACTCCATGTACGACAGGATCTTCGCACGCGCCGCTGCAGGGTCGGACTCCACTTCGGCGGCGGCGGCGTCGAGGAGGGCGCGCTCCTCTTTAGGGTGCGGGGTAGCCCCGGGATAGTCGCGTCTGTTGACGAGGACGACGCGGACGTTGTACGTCTCGGACAGCGGGACCATCTTCGAGAAGATGCCTGTAGCAGAATCTCAGAGTATGTGAGTTATCTCGTCTGTGAGGGAGTGGGAACACACTGACCGCTGTGCCAGGCGTAGCCATGGAGCAGGATGAGCGTCGTGTAGTCTGTACTCCCCTGAGGAGGACCGGAGTCCTGGTAGATGTGAAGGCCGCTGTGCTTGGACATGTCGACGAAAGGACGGGAAACGACTCGGAGGTCCACGCGATGGACGCAAATATATATATACAGCTCGCTACGCTTGTGCCAGGGCCGGTCGTATTGATTGCCCATCGCTTCCACGAAGTCGACAGAACTCTAATGTTGAGGTGAGTTATTCGGGGGCCGCGTGCTGATGCCTGAGAGCCATAGAAGCCCAGGTACCGCGTCTTGTGGGTACAACCAGTGCGAATCGGCTCCGTGTGAACAAGGATGTCCGGTTTTCTGAGCTGATAGACTTGTCAGTCAAACTTTTAGTTTGTTCTTCAGCCACCCCTTCTGCGACGCATTGTGTCAGCTGCTGTCCGGGCTGCCACGCCTGAATGGCTCCGGGCGACGGTGAGAGAACGCTCCGATCCAAGGCTTCGCGAAGCTCGGCTGATCATGCTTCTCCTACCTGTAGTACTTTCTCAGACTCTGGGTAGAATCTTCGACGGCACTCTGAACGAATTCAGAGTTGACCTGGAGCTTGAAGTTACTAGGCAAGCCCTTCCGAGGTCGGCCTTGAGAGCATAGCGAGGCTGCCAGGATTGAGGTCTGAAAATGTGCAAAGCTATGAGTCACGAGCCCCGCTGAGACATACGCGTTGATACCGCAGCACCCTGCTATAGTATGATGTCATGTTGTACTTCGGACGGCCGAGCGGGAGGGTATTCAAACATTTTCACTGCTTGAGAGGAGGCCACCGGCAGGTGAGAGTGAAGTATTCTTGTGTCATATCGGGTGGTGCGAAGCCGCTAAAGCGTGCTCTACATGAAGATAGTCAGAAACAAGCAGTACGGAGTAGTGGTATGTGCATCCGGGTCGTAGGACCTCGTCTAATAGGAACCAATAACTACTTCTTCAAGCTCGGACGTCGCTGCAAGACACGCCCGAACCGTATCCTCCGGTTTGTCCCAATGCATCTGCTCAATCCACGATCAGTGACTAAAGACCCCTCTCCCAGCCAGATTACTCACGAAGTGGTTAGCGTCTTTGATTCGCACGAACGTCACCCTTCGAATTTTGTCTCCCGCCGTCTTAGCTTCTTGGACCGTCTGCTTCATGCAGTGCACTCCCCAGACTATCTCCCAGACAGTAGAGTCACCCCATAGGTATGTAAGCTCCACAGCGTCCCATGAGCGACTGGGCGCAGCATCGCTCTCCGAGTCGTGCACGTGTAGCGCCTTCTCCCGCAGGACTGCCCATGCCCCGGACGGCGGGCAGGCGAGGTTCAGGATACAATCCGAGCCGTCTACGTCTACCGGGGGCGCGTACAACACTGACGCGCCTTCCTCCGCTGTCATGGTGGAGAGGGAAGGAGGTGGGCTGGTCCGGCGGGTACGTCGCTCGAGTGCGTCAACGAAATTCGGGTGCTTGAAGTACCCACTGGCGTAGTCTGGTCCCAGGCGTATTTTCTCCTCCTGCGTCAGAGAGGGGTCGTAGAGAGGGCTCCCGGAGATGTCGCCGTTGAGAGGAGGGTAACCGCAGACGTGGAATGGGGCATCTGTCATCAGCGAGTAGTGAGTGAAGATAAGCAATTCCAAGGCGGCGTATGTCACATACCGTAGAGGATGACGCGCCGAACGTATGTCCCTGGATCGACTTCGCCGACCGGGAACGAGTGTGCGTAGGCGAGCAGGGCAAGCATCCACCCCCCGGCGAACGACCATCCGCCCACCACGATCCCGCCGCTGTTCGGCCCCTTGACACCAGCCTTGGGGATGTCGTTCGATGCCACGAAATCAACCAAGAAGTCGTACAGGTCCCGCGCGTTGTACTCCATGTACGACAGGATCTTCGCACGTGCGGCTGCAGGCTCGGACTCTACTTCGGCGGCGGCGGCGTCGAGGAGGGCGCGCTCCTTCTTGGGGTACGGGGCGGCCCCGGGGTAGTCGCGTCTGTTGACGAGGACGACGCGGACGTTGTACCGCTCGGACAGCGGGGGCAGTTTCGAGAAGATGGCTACAGCAGAATCACACAGTATGTGAGACGTTGTCTATGAGCGAGTGGGAACGTACTGACCGCCGTGCCAGGCGAAGCCGTGGAGGAGGATGAGCGTCGTGTAGTCGGTACTCCCCTGAGGAGCACCGGAGTCGTGGTGGATGTGCAGGCCGCTATGCTCGGACATGTCGATGTGAATGCGAGTCCACGACGGATTGGTGACGACTTCAGAGTTGAACGCCGACGAAGCATTATATCTGCAGCGAGTCGCCGCACCCGTCGGGGCCGGCCACATGTATTGCTCAGGCCGCTTAGTCAAATTCAAATGTTTGGGTTCCTGATCCACCCTCTGGTACGACCCATTGTATTAGCTGTCTTCCGGTCTGCCCCGCTGCATGACTGGGGTCGACCGGGAGAGCCGGGACCGAAGCCGCTCGTGAATGATGAAGAGATCCAGGAAGCTCAGCTGCTGATGGCCTACCCCCACGGATGTGCGGGTAGCATCGCGCTCAAGCCTCATGCAGTCACCGTGTCAATGCCGAGTGAAGACGAGCGTTCAAGAGACGGATGGGAGCTGGACGGCTCGAGTTGACTTGAATATTGTGGTTGCACAGGAAGTCCCCAGAGTCTTCGGCTCTTGGCTGGTATACTCGTCGCCGGCTGCGATTGACAACATAAGCTTCACTCGAGTAGTATTAAGACTCACTGTAACCATTTCCGACCTTCAAGCTTCAAGGAACGCTTCTTGATGGCTCCACGAATAATATGCTCCTCGTTATATGCGTCATTATACTACACCTGAGGTCCCATGATGAACGTGTAGTCATGCATCCACCTTACCAAACGAACGTTCCTCCCTGACGTCCAACTCGAAAGAGTTGTTCGCCTTGAGGGGTTCGCTCTCGGGACCCTCATGCGCAACCTGCGACGCGACTGCGCTCTCCGAGCCAGGCTGCTGCGTCTGCGTGACCTCGACGAAGGTGGCGCCGCCTATCTCGAAGGTGCTATCTTCTCTGTGGTGGCGAGGAACACGGGATGGCGGTGGGGAGCTCCAGCTCAGCGGGCCCTGGAAGGCGACATTCTGCTTCGAGGACTCTTCCCTGGCCAGCCCGACGCGGACGATGATCATGCTGAATACGATCGAGATGATGGGTGATATCTGGAGGTGCCAAGGTCGACTATGAAATGGAGGAACGGCCCCAGGCACATGACGACGCACCATGTCCAAGACTACATATACGACAGTATTCTTCGCGACGAAGGTGGCGAGCGCAATCGTAATCGTGACCGAGTATATCGCACCGCTCTCTATGATGACGTGCAGCAGAGATGTCAAGTTGCTGTTCGCCTGATACCGCGCCGATCTTCTTGCCACAGTCCATATCTTGAACGCGAGGATGACTGCACAATGATCATGAGCGAATGATCACGGAGAGAAGGATATCCTGTGAGTCATACATGTCGTCAACAAGTTCGTCGCCAGAGTGAGGGAATACGCGGCTGTGAT